TAAGCCGAGATCTCCTCAGCAGTCCCTGGAGGCGGTGGAGAAGTATGAGGATAGCGACAGCGACGTCAGTGCTGGCGAAGAATTTACGCCCGAGGAGCAGTTGGCGCTTGAGGAGGACCGGGCGCACTTGATGTATCCGCCAAGCGCCCCCAGCACCCGGCCCCAACAAGCGCGGACAGCAAACCGTGCTGCGCCTTGGATCATTATATTAGCCCTTGTCGCCGGTTTTGGTGCTTGGTGGCGCAAGGAGAAGATTGAGATTGGATTCTGCGGTATAGGCAAGCCCACCTGGTCATTGGCAGACACCCGGGTTCCTGAATGGGCCAATGTTCTCGAGCCGCAGTGCGAACCGTGTCCTCCCCATGCTTTCTGTTACCCAAATTTTGAGGCTCGCTGTGAGCATGACTTCATCCTCAAGGCACACCCTCTGTCGCTAGGTGGACTGGTACCTCTTGCCCCGACGTGCGAAGCCGATAGTGAGAAGGCACGCCGAGTCAAAGCTGTTGCCGACAGAGCCCTCGAAACTCTCCGGGACCGTCGGGCCAAGTGGGAGTGTGGCGAAATTGTGCACGGTGACCAAGGAGAAAAGGGTCCTGAGATCAGTGAAACCGAGCTGAAGCAAGAGGTCGGAAAAAAACGCCGCAAGGGGATGAGTGACGCGGAGTTTGATGACTTGTGGAAGGGAGCCTTAGGTGAGGTGGTTGGCAAAGAAGAAGTCGTCACTCGAGTCCAACAGTGAGTAGTTCCTGGTCTCCTCCTTCTGATTCCAGCCTGTTCGCGACACCCTGGCCTTCCCTCTGGCACCCTTCCAAGGATTCGGATTCTGACTTGTATTATGGAACTAACAGAGACACCCACACAATTACAGACCATCTTCTGTCCTCACCCTCACGTCCACCTCCGTCAGCCGGCTCCCCCTCACCTGCGCATTCCGCCGCTACGTCCGACTCTCTCTCCTCGCGTATCGACTTCCTATTTCGGTTCTAACTCTCGCGGTATGCTTGACACTTTATGTCCGCTCCAAAATCCGGGCTCGCCGCTCGGATATGGCCCGGGTCCCTGAACTTGTGGCCACTACGCTCGATCGCCTCGCGACACAGGCGGCTTTACATGCTCGCGGTGCGGCCCGAGAGCCCTACATTCCCATTGGACAGTTGCGTGATGATGTCCTCCGGTCCGAGCTGCGCGGAAGTCGGCGCGAGGGGCTCTGGAAGCGCGTGCGCAGTATCGTTGAAGGCAACGCCAACGTCCGAGCTGCGGTGCGGGAGGGTCGCGGAGGAGATGTTGCCCGTGTGTGGGAATGGATCGGGGGGATTAGCAGCGTCCGCAACGAGATTGAAAGTAGCGGCAACAGCACGGGCCGGGATGTGCACAAAATGCATTTCTCGCCTTCATCGCCCGAGGACGGTGGTCGTCCCTTGGCTGCTAGTCAGGATGCTACTCCGGTCCCTCGAAAATGGGACGAAGGCCGGCCCATCTACTGAGACCGTCCTTTCTTACATGAATGACGTCCCGAGAAAGTTGGAAACACTATGAGGTCTTCTTCTCTTTAACGTGCGCGGTTCGCTTCCTGCATATTTTGAAACTTCTTATCTTTATTTCGGTTAGTCGGTTAGCTAGCTGGTCAACATTCCGTGATTCCCCAGGTTGACTGTATTATCCAAGATCAGTCTCTTTTGCACCTAAAGTGTGTGGTGTGTGTTTTGTGCTGTGTGTGAACGAGAGTGCACTACAGTAGGACTCAACTCTCGACTCCTCGAGTAGTACCCGTTGACGGACTCGGGAGTACGGTAAAACCACTAAGCTGGAGTAGACAGGAGTTAACCTGATTTAGTCAAGTGAGCTAAGTTATGCCTTGCCGGGTCTAGCGGAGAAAGACCGGAAGATTTTTCGTCCAAATCTTTTGATGAAGGTTCCCATGGGCCCTTACTAGGTAGTTACCTACTACACGTCCCGTGACACATACGTACCCTGTATTCATTCGTACTCCCTTCATGCTTCAGCTCAACGTCCCATCCTCCACTCGTTTGCTACCTACACGACCTCCTTTTTTTTTTTTCAGACGGCTAGACTTCGAGATACTGGTTCTCGGATCGTTTGCCGAAGGTGTGACTTTGAGCCGCTGGGTACAGACAAACTAACGGAGTGCGTACAGGGCAGCCCTCCAGCGCTACGGACAGAACTCCTGCTGTACGTACCGAGTCAGACAGGCCCTGGCAGGCATGGTGGAACTAGCCTGGATCAGATTTGGACCCAGCAGTCGTTCACATACCTACTTCTACAGGGCCACCTACGGCAAGCTACTCGTGCCAATTTGCAATAACCCCATTTTTCATAGTAGACTTATAGTATTTATTGCTTCACCGCTCAACAGACCGCTTTCTCTCTAACTGATTCTAATGTAAAAATCATATACAAGATTCCCCAATAAAGAACCCTAATATAACGATACCTTCGGCCTACAATATCCTAAGACCCTAATAGCCTTAATAATCCTAATGTAACTTATAGTTGTGTAATTTTGTTTAAGATAAGCAGCTTTGAAGGCTAAAACAGTACTGTCGGCAGAATTGGGTTATTGCAGATTGGCACGAGTAGCTCACCGTACCACCGGGAGGCTGGTTCCGTCCGTTGCCCCTCGCAGTATCGATCCGTTGCTGCTGTCCAACGAAATCATATGGATACTTTTTCCGGGCCAGTCCTGCACTCGAATTCGCTAAGAGCGTCACAGCATCACGGCGTCACAGCCCGTGGTTTTGACAAGTACGGTAGTCGTCCTCTCCCTTACTCATTACCTAAAGCATGATATCCCACTGCCCGGAGACAAGACCCGTGCAATCAGCTCGGTTGGCAAGGCAGACAAGCGACGTCATGCATGTCTGTCGTGACGGCAAAAATGCAAATTCAGTATGGTTCGGTACTTTCTGCACTTTCTGCACTTTCTGCACTTTCAGCAAGCGAGTGATCCCTCCAAGTGGAAAGAGACCAGAAAGAGATCCCCTCTCGCGGCCGAGTATTCTGATGATAGTGCGGTGGACCTGCAATGTCACGGGCCCAATCGCAATCGAACCAGAGCCTGGCCAGATGGCTGCTTCGAGTCGAGGAACTGACCCAGGACTGAGATGGCAATCATGGCATACACAGTCTGGCTCTCGTGTGAGGCTATTGCTCATCGCCCCCACACCCCCCCCCCCCTCCCATGACCAATAGAGCCTTGTTTGTCCTCACTATCGTCGTGGTCTCGTCATCTGCACGTCAAACTCAAGTTGCAACTACCAAAAGTTGCAACTACCACCTGCCCACTGGATTCCCCCATCTTAACTTTAAGCCCAATCCCTTCCTGCTGGTAGTTGTCCCTTGACGAGGACCCTTTGGTACCTGGGAAGTGTCAGAGAGAAGGAGAGGAGAGAATCGATGGCTCACACCGGTTCGTTCATAACAAGCGGTCGAGTGCGGCCCCTCCTCAGC